ATATATTTTTTTTTTTTTTCTTTTCCCTCCCAGGCTGGAATGCAGTGACATGCTCACGGCTACTGCAGCCTTGACCTGCTGGACTCAGGTGATCTTCCTGCCTCACCCTTCCAGGTAGCTGCTGGAACTACAAGTGTGCGCCACCATGCCCAAATGTTTTTTGTTTTATTGCAGAGACGAGGTCTCATCAAGTTGACCAGGCTAGTCTTTAACCCCTGGGCTCAGGCAATCCTCTCACCCTCGCCTCCCAAGGTGCTGGGATTAGAGGTGCGAGCCACTATGTCAGACTATATTCTTAGACAAATATAATTGCTGGGATAGAGTGTGCACAGTTGCCTTATAATTTCCATTAAGCTGTTAGAGTGTGCATTTCCCTGTACAGTCACCAATTTGGTTGTATAATGTTTTAAAATTTATTTTTGTTTTATTGGTTGTATGATTTCTAATAATTTTGGTAGTTTAGTAGGTCCATAATTCAGATGATTAAATTGCTTTGTTCAAATGGTCATTTGGAAGCAAAGTTGTGTCTTAGAATTTTTTTTTTTTTTTTTTTTGAATCAGAGTCTCACTCTGTCACCCAGGCTGGAGTACAGTGGCACACTCACGGCCACCGCAGCCTTGACCTGCTGGGCTAGGTGATTCTTCCGCCTCAGCCTTCCAAGTAGTTGGAGCTGCAGGCACCCACCAACATGACTGGCTAATTTTTTTTTTTTTTTTTATTCATTGTAGAGATGAGAGCTTGCCAATTTGTCCAGGCTGGTCTTGAAACCCTGGACTCAGGCAATCCTCTAGCCTCTGCTCCCAAAGTGCTGGGATTACAGGCATAAGCCACAGCGCCCGGCCTAGAATGTTATTTAACAATTAGTCAGGTCTTAGGACTTCTTTTTAGTCAGAGTCTCACTCTGTCACACAGGCTGGAGTGCAGTGGCACAACCATAGTGCACAGGAGCCTGGAGCTCCTGGGGCTCAGGTGATTCTCTTGCCTCAATTTCCTGAGTAGCTGGGAAAACAGATATGCCACTGCAGCCAGCTCTTATTACTTAAAACTCATCCTAGTCTGGAGTTTGGGTACTTCTAGGTCATGAACATGCCTGGCTGGCCAACTTTGTTGGAATCTTTCAAAGTAAGTCTTTTTTTTTTTCCTCTCAGGGCAGCAATAATGTTAAATTTGTGAAATACTTTGAATGGTGAAGTTAGCCGGGCACGGTGACTCACACCTGTAATTCTAGCACTTTAGGCGGCTGAGATGAGAGGACTGCCTGAGCCCAAGGGTTCGAGACCAGCCTGGGCAACTTGGTGAGATCTCGTCCCTACAATAAATTCAAAAATTAGTCGGGTGTGGTGATGCACCCCTGTGGTTCTGGCTACTTGGAAGGCTGAGACGGAAGGATCGCCTGAGCCCAGCAGATCGACGCTGGCGTGGCCGTGAGCATGCCAAAACACTCTAGTCTGGGCGACTGAGTGAGACTCCAACTCAAAAAAAAAAAAGGAAGTGGGGCGACCCTGTAGGACGTGACTGGGCCAATGGTGAGGGTTTCCAGGCCAATGGTGAGGGTAGCCTGACCTATAATTTCAACAGTAGTTACAGGACAAACCCAAGGTCTGTAATAAGCACTTGATGTAGTAGAAGAGTGTGCCAGACTGCACACACACAGATGCATGCTGCAATTCTATTACAACACAGTCCAGTTTTACCCGATGGATGGTAGACTGTGGGCTCACAGAGGGACGGCTACGAGGATCACAGAACGGTACCATTATTCCATGGTTGATTCCCCTTTCACAAAGTGGTAGGAGAGGCACCTCTTGAATCCCCATTTCACAGATGCAAAAAACCGAGCGTCAGGGTAGCGAAACAATTTTTTCACGGTTTCATGGCCACCCAGAAAAAACACAGGATTTATCGTGGTGTCCTGGATGGACTGAATTTCATTTCATTGCAGTTTAGCCTCCGTAGGGCGCAGAGCTTGAGGACTTGCGGTCGGGAGTAAAATCAGGGTGGGGCTTTTGGCTCCGCCCCTCGGGCCCCAGCACCCGTTCCGCGCCGCACTACG